AAAAAGTTTATAGAGTTCTGTGTTCATAAATTATATATATATAATTTTAAAGCATATTTTAGATTCTAATGTATTTATATATTATTATATCACAATTTATATATTTTTTTATTTTTTTAATAGTTTAGGGTTCTCCACGGTAAGCATATTTCAATTAAAATATTTTTATACATTTTTTATTTTTATTATATACCATAATTTTAAACTAATCATTTTTATTATTTATTTAATTTTATGATTTTTTTTTTAAATAATTATAGATTGATTTATGTTTTTTTTTGGTGAACTTTTAATATATTTTATCAGTATCCTAATAATTATAAATGGTAGATAAATAAAACCTAAATAAAAAAATTGACAACCCAACCCGAAAATAGAGGGCGGAGTTGTGAAAAGTTTTGGGTTGGGTTGGGTTGGGTTACCCATTCAACCAACCCAAACTTTTGGGTTGGGTCAAAAAAAAAATCTACCCAACCCATATCATGTACAAAAAAAAATTTGACAACCCATCCAACCAACCCGAACTTTTGGGTTGGTAAAAAAAAATCTCTCAACCCAACCCAACTCGGACCATGAACACCCATAATCTTTAGTTATGCCTCTTCTTTCTTAGATTTTGTTGACCTTCTTCGCCGTAAATCATGATTACTCATCAAAATCACTATCTAGTCGGAGAACCGATAGATCTTTGTCAACCAGTTCTGAACATCGTGACTTCAACTTCAGTGGGGAAGAAAACAAGCTACTATTTCCCTTCTTTCGTTGTGATTTGATAATTTGACCGTGAGTTTTTTTATATGTTCTCTTGTTATGATGGTATATTCTGAAAATTTCTCTGATTAATAGCGGGTAAATAGAGAATGAGAGTTCAAAATGTTATACAAGTCCAAAACAATAACCCGGAGGCAAGAAAAATCATCGATTCCTGTTCTATCTCTCAATCTAAATACATACATTAGGAAGAGAAAGCAACACTTTAAACTAACCTCAAAAATCTTAGAGGAACACTGAAGCCCAATCACATAAAGCTGAGGAAACCTATAAAGAAAGAAAATTCCACATCAATCTACTGCACTACAGCAATAGTGAGATCCTAAAATGAACTTCCATTATCATTACCAGTGCTTGTAAGGACCGGATTGACTCAGATGACTCTAAAAAAGACGATAAATTTTTCATAAAATAAAACAACCCAAACTTAAAACATATCAAACATTATATCAAAATAAAGTTTATACAAAGTATTTTAAAACACAACAAAACAGTTAAAACACAAGTTAAGGGACGACACAAAAGGGTTGAAGGACGACGGGTGAGGTTTGTCTATGGCACCTGCTCCAGAGTCTGCTCCCGACCTCGACCAGCTCCTTATTTCCTGAAAAAAATGGAGAATAAGGAATGAGTACAAGACTCATTAAGCAGCCTACTTGTAGGCAATTAATCGTGTCCTTCATATGCTAGGGTACCACACTTTTTGTTTTCTTGTTCTTGTCGTAAGTTCTTGTTATGTTTCTTAATTCATTCTCTAAGACACTCCCCTTAAGACTTACGATACTAGACATAAACATGTCATCCTGTGTCCGAGGTTTCATGCATTCCGAGCGACACAGTCTTAATACCTACGCTCAAGGTTTCATACTTTCCAAGCAGCGTAGTCTAAGTCATAAACATGATGTACCGTGGGAGGTCTTGGGGTTCTTAATTCATGGCTAGGACAACTTACTCTCTTCTTGCTCCATCGTGGCCATAGGTTACGCCCCATGATAGACCATAAAGGTCACGTGATTGATGCATGCATGAACATGGCCTAGACCATAAGGGTCACGTGATCGATGCATGCATGAACATGGCACAGACCATAAAGGTCGCATAATCTAACATAGACCATATAGGTCGTGTGATCGGTGCATACATGAACATGGCATCCTGCAAAACATAACATGGCGTAGGGCATCTCATCTAGGTGAGGGAAATGAGACCAAGCATGACATCCTGCAAAGGAAACACGGTGCAGGGCATCCCACCTAGAAGAGGAAAATGGCCTCCTTAGAAAGCACCGCATGGTGGGAGTTATGGGCCACAATTAGACATGCTTGGAATAATACCTACCATTCTTGAATTTTCATGTCTAAGGACTTTGGTCCTTTATCTTTGAGTGGTACCTAGCATTCTTCTTATCTTGGTAGTTGTAAAGCTTGTTTGATAATGCTCTTGGCTCTTAACCTTGTAAGTTTCTAAGGTTCTTATTTTCTTGAAGCATAACTTGTAACATGTATTCGTGATCATATGAACCCATCTTAGCGTGAGTTGTTCTAGAAGGTCATAGATTTCTAGGGAGTTCTTTAGAGGGTTCTAGAAGAGTCTTGAATCTTGACATGTTTTCTTTAGGCGTTTCCTTAAGTTTCATCTTAGCTTATGTTCCAAACTTGCTCCAACCAACTTGAAATCTTGAGCATGTCCTTTTGTCATATAAAATAGACCTATAGGACATGGTTGGTGATTTGGAGCATATTTAGACCTTGAGCTAGGATATGACTTCTTGTTTCGTTTTCAGGAACTAACCCTCAGAGGTTGTCATGTCATATATTGTGTTTTGGTCCTGAAAACACTTTCAAAGTAACCCTCAGTTTTCTCCCCATGAGTGCATAGGTGACATTATATCATAAACGCGGCATCCTGCTGGCATATCGTGTTGCAGGGCATCTCATTTAGGTGAGGAAAATAATAAGTCCATCATGACAACTTGCTCGTGGTACATATAGCAGGGCATCTCACCTAAAGAGGAATAGGGATCTCATGGTACACTTCGTGATGGGAGATAATGGTTACTCCGGGCATGGATCCTAGCAACGTGTTAAGCATACCATCTGCATTAACCTAGGTGTTTCCTTGTATTCTTGGGGATCCTAGGTTTATGCATAACGTCTTGGGTCAAGCTTGGAACTTAAAGGTTCTTCTTAGGAATAGCCCAACATAACCTTGCGCACTTGAAATCTTATTAGCAACCAAGGGTACTTGTGGGAAATCTCTTATTTCATGGGTACCTCGTTAATCATCCTAGGAGGTAAAGTCATGTGGATCGTGATGTACATTTTTCCCCATATCTTGCTTTCGCTATCTAACGTTTCCCAATGACTCCCAAACTTCATTACCTTGTACAACATCTTGAGATAAGAATTCATACAACATTTCATAATATTGGGAGGTCATTTAGGGCTTAACCCGTAGGTAATCTTCGTTAGGGGCATTATGGTAATTTTTCCCTAATTCTTGGTTTTGCTACTTAATGAGTTCCAATAGCTTTCAAACTCTACCACCTCATCAAGAATCATAAAATAAGATCTATAGTAGAGTTTCATAGTATTTGGAGGTCATCTTGGTCATGAACGGTAGGTAGATATACTTAGGGGCATTATGGTCATTTTTCTCCGTTTCTTGGTTTACCTACTTATCCTTATCCAATAATCACCAAATTCCATATATAACCTTAACATGATATATTATGCTCATCATTAAAACTTCATAGGCATTAGAGCTCATTTAGTTGTTTATCTTAACGTTCCTTAAATCCCGAGCAACTTGGTCGGTTTAGGGCCTTAACTCACGGTTCTTTGGATTTTTCTTTCATATATCCTTGTGTCATACTTGGGATAGGGTTCACAAGAAAATTCAAGCGATTCCTACAAGTATTTCGTAAGAAAAGTCCAAGGTGGCTACTTACCTCATCGTCGACGTTCGGGACCTCCGTTCTTGAGCTTTCGGTACCTGAATTGCTTCACATTTCCTTCCATAGACTCCGTATCTAGTTTCTGGAACCATAAGGTTTGTCATGAGAACCCATCTGGAAGGGGGTTAAAATTTAGAAACATCGAGGGAAGGTCAGATTTTGGGCTGACTTGGCCGGTTCAGTCATCGTCTTCTTCCTCTGGACAGGAAGAAGACGTGCGCGTCCTTTGCGCCGCCGTCTGAAAGTGGCCTTTCACAGCCCCGATATCTTCATTTCTCCGCTCGATTTCTTCATGAAACTTAATGATGGTGTTACAAGGAATAGCTTGGGATTGATTTCATACCTTTTCGTGGATCATAGCCTAAGATATTCACCTCCAAAGTTCGTCCAAAATCATTTTCCTCACCGGAGCTAAAAAAGGGGATTTCTTATCGGGTAGCCAATTCTAGGCGTTTTCAAGGCCCGATTTCGAACCTCCTCCATATCCTTTCCTCATGCTATAGAAATTGGTTTGGAGGAACGTCTTTGAGTGTGGGTCCTTAATTTGACTAAAGCCCTGACAAACAACGACAATAACTATAACGATCTTAAGTAGCAAAATTTCTTGTCCCGTCAATTGATAGATGGTCGGTAAGTATGATGATTTTAATGATGATCTTACCATTGACAGATAGGTTTTTAGGTTATGTTTACGTACCCAAAATCATAATCAATCAATAGAAATTCGATTTTTGGGATATTACGTCGAATGCATTAACATGTTTGGCAATAGAAAACAGAAATGTTTCGTATTTTGTAATCTCATCTCAACCAAAAGGGTTACCGATTCCTCAATGACTCCCTTTTTGGTGAATTTTCAAGAATTTTGTCATTTCTATCACGGTTCAACATTTTTCTCATATGTAGAATGAAACATATTCATCCAAATTAATATACAAAAAAAAAGTGCCAGTATCGCTCGTGATAGAGGGACGAACAATCAAGATTGAAATATGATATCTCAATTGAAAAAATAGGGTCGAAATTGATGGTATAAATCGAGATCGTATCTTTTGGTTTCGAAGAATGCACGTTAAAGGTACATATCTTCTATTACGTGGAGAAAGTGAAGCATCAACTTGTTCGTGACCAATCAACATTTTAAAAGATATTTGTAAATAAAGAAACTGTATAAAAAATATCCAATGTCTCTACTATCCATACGTGATATAATAAATTCAACATCCAAATCAATAATTTATCTCAAGATAAATAGAAGAAATTGGCTATTTAGAGCATCCATAAATGACTTCTACCTGTGTAATGATACTTATATAATTGACTCGAACAATGGAAAAAGGTTAGTTTGAATATAATATTCTGATAATTTGGTATTGATAACTGCCCTCCATACATTTATTTTTTCCTCCAAACAAATTAAAAGTCTTGGAAAAAGGCTGCTGCTGCTGCTGCTGCTTGTTTGTCACCATTGCCTTCCCAATCTTGGTCTCTTTTATGCCTTAAATATACGGCTGCATACACTATAACCTGTTTCAAAATCCTTATTTTTCCTAAAACAGTTTTGAGGTGCGAGGAATTATCAACCGAAAATAAACCACGACTCAAGTGGAGGTGTGTGTGAGCGTGCGTGTGAAAAGATGGACCCCTATTTAGGTTTAAATTGTTAGGAATCATGACGCTCCACAATAATATGATATTGTCCACTTTGAGCATAAGCTCTCGTGGCGTTGCTTTTGGTTTCCCTAAAAGGCCTCGTACCAATGGAGATGTATTCCTTATTTATAAACTCATGATCAACCTCTTAATTAGAGGATGTGTGGACTCCCTCCCCTCAACAATCTTTTCCTCAAGCAAAAGTACGTCATAGTGCCTCCCTGAGACCTGTGGAGCCCTTGAACAACCCTCCCTTAATCGAGACTCGACTCCTTCTCTAGATCCCTCGAACAAATTACACCCTTTGTTCCACACTTGACTCACCTTTGACTACACCTTCGAGACTCATAACTTCTTTGTTCGACATTTGAGGATTCTATTGACATGGCTAAGTTAAGGACATGACTCTAATGCCATGTTAGAAACCAAGACTTTCCACAATGGTATGATATTGTCCACTTTGAGCATAAGCTCTCAAAGCGTTGCTTTTTGTTTCCCAAAAGGCCTCGTACCAATGGAGATGCATTCCTTGTTAGGAATCACGACTCTCCACAATGGTATGATATTGTCCACTTTGAGCATAAGCTCTCATGGCTTTGCTTTGGGCTTCCCCAAAAGGCCTCATACCAATGAAGATAGTATTCCTCACTTATAAACCCATGATCTTCCACTAAATTAACCAATGTGGGACACTCCCAATCCCAATAATCCTCAACAATCCTCCCCTCGAACAAAGCACACTATAAGCCTCCCCTGAGGCTTATGGAGCTCTCGAATAGCCTCCCCTTAATTGAGGCTCGACTCCTTCTCTGGAGCCCTCGAACAAAGTACACCATTTGTTCGACACTTTAGTCACTTTTGACTACACCTTCGAGGCTCGCCATTCTTTGTCCGATATTGTCCACTTTGAGCATAAGCTCTCATGGCTTTGCTTTGGGCTTCCCCAAAAGGCCTCATACCAATGAAGATAGTATTCCTCACTTATAAACCCATGATCTTCCACTAAATTAACCAATGTGGGACACTCCCAATCCCAATAATCCTCAACATTCCTTACTTATAGACTCATGATTGACCCCTTAATTAGACGATGTGAGACTCCTCTCCTCAAACAAAGTATACCATAGTGCTTCCCCTAAGACCTGTGGAGTTCTCGAACAACCCCCCCTTAATCAAGACTCGACTCCTTCTCTAGAACCCTCAAACAAAGTACACCATTTGTTAGGCATGGCTCTGATACCATGTTAAGAACCACGAATCTCTACAATGGTGTGATATTGTCCACTTTGAGCATAAGCTCTCCTGGCGTTGCTTTTGGTTTCCCCAAAAGACTTCATCCCAATGGAGATGTATTCCCTACAGATAAACCTATGATCAACCTCTTAATTAGCCGATGTGTGGACTCATATGCGAATGTGAACTATTAATTAAAGAGGGACAAAACTGATGACTAAACATGAGAAGAGCTTGCAGCTTGACTGGTGAAGATTCTAGAGTCGTTGATAAGTCCATTTCTCGCTTATGAGCTACACATGTTTAGAGTATGCCTCTCTTGAACTTCTAAGTTATCCATTTTTACACGGAATATCAGAATAATATTGTGTACTGATGATCCAATATGTAGTCTAAGTAATAGAATTAAGAAAACTTTCTTTTGGGCTTATTTTGGAACAATGGTTTTCTTGGTAGATGCAAAAGCACGTCCCATTGGGGAAGCAACTTCTACGAAAGGTGATGCCAATGCCAGTTTGCTTAATTAATGATACAACTCTGTTCCCTAAAATAAAGGAAAGACAGCATTCATACCTCGCTAGTTCCAGGACTTGTATTGACAGCACACTCAATTTGAAACTTATCGTCTCCAATATGGTTAACAGCTCTTATAGTATCTTCCACCACTTCTGATTCTCGTGGTGAAAAGGCTAGACTATCCAATTCATCATACCACTGTTGAGCCGAACCGACCTACACCACACGAACGCTAACAGATATTCTAGAAACGAAGCAAGACTGCAAACAAACGAAGCAAAACCAAGGTAGATTATAAGAACCAGTACTCATATAAATGGTCACGTCGTGTTGTAAACGCTCTACTTCAGATAAGAAATATATGGTATCATGTACAGCAAGGGGAAAAACTGTAAAAACATATAACAAATGATCAACTTGTTGAGTAAATAAAATAATGTATTGTGCACACTTCCATTCTACCTGCGATTTAAAATTAATAATCTATCATCCATATATCTAATCATGTGCCAAGGAAACATCAGAGACTGCGGATTGAAGTCTTCCACTTCTCTGTCGGGAATGCTTCCCAAACCAAGTCGGTCCTTGATCCAGCTCCATAACTCAGTACTCTTCGTACTCTTCGTACTTTGTCGGATAGGTAAACAACTAAAATGTCTACAAATGAGCAGAAACATAATTTGGGGTCACTTGTTCAAAGGAAACATTTAAAAAAAAAAAAAAACAATGATTTAGGCAAGAAAAATGATCGATTCCCTATTCTATCTATCAATCTAAATACATACATAAGGAAGAGAAAGCAACACTTTAAACTCACCTAAAAATCTTATCGGATAACAAAATGGGAAAGGAAACATATTCCCTGGTTAATATATTGAAGAATGCTCTACCCAAGAGGCTCTCTCGCATCTTGTCTCACCATTACCCCATCTTACTAATTACTGCTTTTGTTTTATCTCCCAACAAAGCCAGACTACACTGAAAAAATACTACCTCAACTTTATGTGGAATGGTGGTCGGGATAAACAAACACCTCATCTCATTCGTTGCCAAAAGGTTAAGCTTCCAAAATTATGCAGAGCAGACATAAGTTGAAGATTAAGGCTCTCATATCTAAATAGGTTTCTTTCTGGTTGATTTGGCTGGGGGAGAAAGTGACATATGTTCGAGGACAAGCCCATCAATTTTGAAAGTTTCTTTGTTCGTCTATCCTTAATGGCTCTCTCTCTCTCGGTGTAAATTCTCCCAAATAGTTATAGTCTAACAACACTCATAACCACTTCAAACATTTTAAGCAACTGGTTCTGCTTCCTAAAACTGTAATAATTCATGGAGTACAAGCAGGGATACAAAATTTAAATCTAGAAAAGATGTAAACAAAGAAAAATTGCAATCAGATCAAAAAAAACCTTGAGGATGACTACATACAACCAAGCAAACGAAGGTATTCGAATCAAATTCAAATTGAAGATGGAACACGGATGGGCTGAGGAGTACCCGAGTAGAATTGAGGCTTGAGATTTGTTTGAGTCGCCGGAACCTGAAAGCCAGGTTGGTTGCGGAACAAGGGAATGGCATCAAGTCGAGGGTAAGCTCATAGCCTGAGAGAAGGAAGGGGCAGTGGAGTTGCTTCTACGGCGGCCGGGTTTATTGTTTGAGCGAAGGAAGAGTAAAGGGCAAAGTTGTCTCTTGTAAAATATTCAAACCATGGTTTTGGTTCTTTTTAATAAAGAAAGTTTATTTATTATTTAAATGAATAAATTATTTTTAGTATTAAACCAAATAACCTTATCCAAATAAATTATTTTTCTAAAAGTAAATTTTAAATTGAAGAAAAAAAAATAGTTTAAATAAATAAAAATTATATTCGCGTATATAACCTTATTCAAATAAATTATTTTAAAATTGAATAAATTATTCAAAATAAAAGTACATTCATTTTAAATAAATTATTTTTCAATATATATTCAAAAACTAAAATTTAGATGGAAGAAAAAAAATAATAATCATTAAATAAATATGAATTTATATACATTATATAATGATCTTATACAAGTTGGCACATATTTAGCACCCTACTCATCTACCCTCTACCAATTGAAATACGACCGTCGGTTAACTTTGATGGATCTACAATTACAACGGGTCGTCTGTAACCCTGAATGGGATATGGTAATCCATATAAAAATCCTTCGTCTATTTTTTGTTCAACCTTCATAATTATCTTCATCTTGGCATAAACTGACGCCGTAAGTAAACTGTCAGACCCAGCAAAGTGGGCAGTACCAGTGCGATTAACTTGGAGCAGCTTAGCCAATTTTTTTAACCCCAGGTTGCCATTGAACAAGTAGTTGGAGCACCGAGCCATATGTTTGAGGTCGGTGACTGTTCCCAGTAGATGTGCAGCAGTGATGGCGAAAATAGACATGGACGTAGGCATGCATGTTATGTTGGTAAGCTTCATTAAATAGGCAATGTCATACAATCCATGAAAGGTTATCCATCTATGTATTCTACCGCTTCGAAGAATAGGGTTAAATTGTCTACCAAATTCTTCGGGAGCAATTCCATAGCTCCTCAATGTATTAAAATTAAATCCTTTATTTTTTAGAAATGAATCAAGGGAATAAACACCCTCCATATTACTAATTTTATCGAAATCTTTAAAGTTAAACTCCCACGTCATTCCTATTTTTCCATTATCATTCGTGAGTGTGAGTCCTAACTGTAGGATGCTCAGTCGATTGACGTTGAATTGCAGGCATTCATAAAATTCTTCATCTGAAACACCTTTGGGAGTCCATCTTAAAAATCCTAAAAAGAAAATTCATCACAAGTCAGTAAAACAAAACTTGAAAAAGTCATAAAACAAAACTTAAAAATCACTATTTCCCACCAACTTAAAGTTTAATTTTTACCTGGAAACTCAGTGTCCATAGCCACAATTGGGAATTCGGATAAACACTGCTGTATAAGTTCTATCTCCTCCAATAAATTGTGAGACCAAACGTCTCTCTCCCATTGTCCTTCCACTGTAGCAACTTCTCCAATCATTTTTGCCATTTTTTTTAGAACTATTTATTTTGATTATGGATGGTTCGTCGGAAAATTTTTTAACTTCACGATTGAATTGAGTATGGAAGTGAAAAGGGTGAGACTATATATTATAATAAAAATTATTCCTAATCTAGAGAAGAAATGGAAATAAGATTATTTAAATGAATATAGATAAATATATTTTGAAATTTAAAAAGAAAATCTATTATCAACGTTTTAAAAATTAATAATAAAGAGCACAAAAAAATTAAAATTAAATTGGATGGAAAATAAATGATAAAAAATAAAATAACACCAAAAACTAAATTTAAATTTGATTGAAAAGAGAGGATAAAAATGTAATAAATACTAAAATTATTGTTTTTAATTAAAAAAAAACTTTTTGAGTATTAAAGACTACCTTCTAATATTGAATTTGAATTATTAGAATTACGTTCAACATTATGTTTAAAGTATTTTTAATAAATTTGGTTGAAAAATAGAAATTATTTATTATAAATTGAAATATTTTTAAAAATTTATATGAGGGATAAAACTTTAGTACAAAAAAATAAAATTTTTATTTTTGAGAGAGGATCGTATAATTTATGGGTGTAAAATTAACGATAGATTAGTTTAAATATTTATCTTATATCTATAAACATTTTTTGAGGTCTCGTTTTAATTCAAATCTATAACCTATTCAAAATTAAAGAATGAAATAAAAATAGATAGTATAATAGCTTTAGGACCAATACAATAAGATTCTCGAAATGTAGACGCACATGACCCTAACTCGTCAATCGAAACGACCATGAAACCAAAAATTGATTAAATCATTTGACTTTAGATATAACGGGTCAAAGTTTAAAATCGCTCTTGTATATATTCAATAATGCAAAACTACCAGCTCAATTGTGCGGATACGATCGAAAACTAATGCAAAATCCTCTATTTTCGGGTTGGGTTCAGGTTGGGTTGTTATTTTTTTTTTTAAGTTTTATTTATCCATAATTTATAATTATTCGTATACAATCTTATATAAATAAAACTAAGGTATTTTAAATATATATATATATATAAGAAAAAAATAAATATATTTGTCCGGATTCAAACTCAAGCGTTTGTTTTAAATGACTGACCAAAGTACCACTCAAGCAAACCTATTTTAAACAAGAATTCTTAATATATTTTATATATTTCAATTGGTTCGGGTCAACCCGAGGATTTTACCCACGAACCCAAAACCGAACCGATTCAGTTTGGGTTCAGAAAAATGAACCCAACCCTACCCGAAATGCTAATCCAACCCAACCCTTGTAGTTCGGGTTGGGTTGGTCCAGGTTGTCGGGTTGAATGTACACCCCTAGTTTGGGTTAGGTTACCCATTCAACCAACCTGAACTTTTAGGATGGGTAAAAAAAAAAATCTCTCAACCCAACCCAACCGAGATCATGTACAAAAAAAAAATTTGACAACCCAACCCGAAAATAGAGGGTTGGGTTGGGTAACCAATCCAACCAACCCGAATTGGGTTGGGTTAAAAGAAATCTCTCAACCCAATCCAACCCGGACCATGTACACCCATAATCTTTAGTTATGCTCCTCTTCTTTCTCGAATTTCGGTGACCTTCTTTGCCGTAAATCATGATTACCCATCAGAATCACAGTCTAGTCAGAGAACATATAGATCTTTGTCAACCAGTTCAGGCCGTCGCAACTTCAACTTCGGTGGGGAAGAAGACAAGCTACTATTTCTCTTCTTCGTTGTGATTTGATAATTTGACTTGAGTTTTTTTATATGGTATGTTGTTATGATGGTATATTCTGAAAATTTTTGGATTAATAACGGGTAAATAGAGAATGAGAGTTCAAAGTGTTGAATTAGGGGTAAATAGGTTGGGGATCGCAAAAGCCCGAGCATATGGACTACAACCGCCGCTCTTCATCTTCGCTCGCGATTCCAGCCACCGCGCCAAGATTCGCGAGGAACGCAAATGCTCTTCATTGGTTAGGTTTTGGCTGCAATTTCTTCCATCTTAATATATTTTGATGAAGAAATTGTTTCACATTTCTTTTCTATGTACCAGGTTTTGTGGGCATTTTGTTTGTACTTGGAAGCCGTTGCCATCAGCTTGTACTTCTACAACGAACAAAGAATATTGACAATTTGATCCGACAATACGTATTTATTCTTGGGTATGATATCACCTCTTACCATTGATGTGATACCTCTTGAATCCATGGCTAAGTTTCCTCCTTTTCTTGTTCTTTACCGGTACCTTTCATTTAGAACCATGTCATTCACAAGTACGTGTTGATTAGGAATTCTAATACAATTTTAGGCTTGTTTTCTTTCTATCCGTCAATACGTGGGTCTGATTTAAGGTGTCTTATATAAGTCTAACAGCCTATGAATTCAAATCTGCGGAATAGGAGCAAATTTCATCCACATGTAAATATATAATGATTTACTTTTAACTTCTTGATTGAGGATGATTAATTATCTCTTACTCGTTTCCCGTGGAATCAAAAGTGGTTCTATTATCATCTACGGGTAAATATATAATGATTTATTTTTCATTTTTGTAAGCAATGAACCCAACACGAGAAATCTTTAGTGATGTCGGATCTAACATGTAGTTGAGTGAGCAGTCGTCCTTCATAACACAGGATATGAGGCAAAGTTGAGATTGAGAACTTAAGTCGGCCTGAAGTTATGCCCACTAAATTTCAACTATTAAGTTATTAGATAAACTAAAATTATGCCGAGTCAAACTAAAGTGAAATTGTGTTTCTCCTACCTAGCCCCTTCTCTGATTATCGACCAAAAAAGAACGACATGTTCGAGTACAGAGATATGCCTACAAAAAAGAACGATGTGGGTGACGGGCATGACTCAAGTACACCCAATTCAATTGTTCGAGTTGTAAACGTTCATTTGAATGTCGTTCTTAGACCCGATCCAGTTCAATTCAATATAGGGGTATTCGTGAATCGGGTTGAGATATTTCTTAGACCCGATCCAATTATTCGAGTTGTAATTTTTTTATTTTTAATAAAATTAAAATGTTAGTTCATAAAATATCTATTTATTTATTTTTAAACATTTAATTAAGATTTATAACGAATTGTAAATTTATCTTAAAATAAATGCTAGATCGTAATTTATCTATTTATTTATTTTTCAGACATTTAATTAAAATTTTGCAGATCAATTTCAATATATAATTAAATTTTTATTCAAAAATATATAGTAAATAAATAATTATGATATTAAATAAAATAAAATAAATATAATACCCAGATATAAAAGGGCATTTTACAATATCTAGATATTTGTCCCATTAAAATAAAAGATCGGGCATTTGGTGGGTCAAGTAGATTTGAGATGATCCCAATTGGATCCACGTGTCCTCTAGGTCTCCTTGGACAAAAATGTAATTTTTGTTTGTATTGCCTTTCAACCCATGTGTTTGGAATTTCCATGAAAAGGCACCCAGTTGAGTTGACCTTACGAGGCTAATTTAGAAGATGGTTGGAATTTTGAATGCAAAATCTCTGTAATGTCGGGGTGAATGAGAGGTACATGAATTAACCGATACTAAATTCGAATGTAAGCAATCGTTACTATCTATACCAACAAGGTGCACTTTCTTTATCTATTGCTTATTCATAGGAGCTTCATGTTTAAATGTGCATTACTTTAAGCAATTTTATGTCAGGTGACTTTGTGAGATTTTTCTTATAATGCACGTGATTGAAGACAAAACATGCTGAAAGAATTCGTGTTGGTTTGTAGATTTAGTTTTCACTCTTAGAAAAGAGAAGTGGGTTGAAAGGACTCATGTGACCTGGAAATTTTCCTATGAGACACGTGATTGAGGAGAATGCATGTCGAGAGGACTCACGTTGGGTTGTAGGAATAGTTTTCACTCTTAAAACCGAGAAGTAGGTTAAAATGACTCGTATGACCTGGAAATTTTTCTATGAGACATGTGGGTAAGGACAATAAATGTTGAGAGTACTCGTATTCATTTCTAGTGATAGTTTTCAAGCAAGGAGTAGATGATGTGACCTGTAATTAAAAATTAGAATTTTATTTAAATATAATTTAATTTTATATTTAATAAATTAATTATTTTTTAAAATTTTCAAATTAATTTACAAATTTATTACCCACTTCTAAAATTATGACCAGACACAAATTTTATAATTCTAATTTAATGATATTTTAAATTTGAGGTGTTCAAATCTAATAATAGCAAAATAATAATAATAATAATAAATAAATAAATAAATATAGATTTATTAAAACTTTATAATTTAATAAAGAAAAATAAATAATTAAACGAGATTTCGGTGGATTTTTAGTTAAAATCCAACGAACTTCGTTGAAAATAATTAAAATATATATATAATAACCTTTTTATAAATAATAACTATTAATTTATTTTTAAAAAATGATCAAACCGACCTGTTATTTAGAGCGGTCTAACCAATTACGATTTATGACCCAATTTAATTTTAAATAGAAAATTAATTAATTATTTATTTATTTTTTAGAAAGCGACCAAGTTTGTTCAGCGGTCAAAACGCTGCGTCTTACGACGACTCGCTACCGTTGAAAATTACATTTGTTGCTTTTTGCGTGTAGAGACGAACTTTCCACGTCATCACGCTGTTCGAACGGTCTTAGGATCAAAAATTTCAAATAAAATGTTGAATTACCATTTTATCCTCATCTATCAAATATTTAATAGATTATAAATTTGAATTTCTAATATATAACTCATTTAATATTTTTTTAATTATCAAATAATTACACATAATAGATTATGAAATTTAATAAAATTTTAAATTGGTCATAGAAATTTTTAGATATAAAATTTAAGGTTAAAAACTATTTTAAAATTTAGTTACCTAAATATAAATTATAAGTTTAGTCAATTTTTTTTTTTAAAGATATTAAATATGTTGAGGACTAAAATGGTAATTTACTTGATAATTAAGTATTTGATATTGGAGAAAATAGTAGCGTGTGATTTCCACTAATTTAGATTTAATTGTTTGTAAACTTTGCAAAGTATTAAATATGTTAAGAAGGGCTAAAGTTGTAATTTCACCGACACTTAAGTAATTAATTTTGAGAGAAAAAAAGAAAAAAAAGAAATGGCGTGGCATTTCCGTGATTTTCGAGGAGATCAAAGGGTAGCTACAACTAACTCAGAGAACACAGACATGCCAACTTTTTGAGCTTCCCCTTGAAGCGAAGCCTTCATTTTCTCTCTATTTTCCCCTTTCTCTCTGATCCTCTGGTTCGATTTGGACAAGATTCATCGTCTTCCATGGGGCAACAATCCTTGATCTACAGTTTCGTTGCGCGCGGGACTGTGATTCTTGCAGAGTATACGGAATTCACCGGAAATTTCACCAGTATAGCCACACAGTGCCTCCAGAAGCTTCCCGCCACCAATAACAAGTTCACTTACAATTGCGATGGCCACACCTTCAACTATCTCGTCGATAATGGATTCAGTAATTTCTCTGTCTCTTATTTTCTTTTGTCGATTTCATCTTTTTTCCTGCGGTTTTCATGGCTTTCGTCTTTTGATTGTTTGTTTTATATCTGTGCAACTGTTATGCTTGTATTTTATGCGATTCGTCTGATTCTCCTGTTTAGTTTTAACGCGTTTCAATGGTGATATTTGCGTTAGATGTGCTTCTTTTCTGTTAAACGCTTTGCTGTTGTTAATCTCGGAGTGGAAATAATAGGAAACTAGTGTCATAAGCATCGTTTTGCGATACGCTGATCAGATCATTAATGGAGGACTCGGTTCTTTAATTGTCATTCCATTTTTAAAGAAATTGTGTTTTGAAAAGAACGATCGTGAAAATTCCTTGGTCGATTCTTGACATTTATTCCACATAGCTATCGTTTTAAAATCCGTTTTTTTTTTTGGTAGATTTCTTCGCTTTTATTTTTTTGAAGTTGTTTCTTGAGCTATTCGATGCGAAAGAAGTGCTGCAGATGCGGTATCCGAAAACTGTCAATCTTGGTATCAATATTGCTGGAGCCTTGAAACTGTGACCTCCTCTGTTATGGTGACAACAAGTTCTTTTATGCTAAATTGAGTTTCGATGTTCTTTTCTCTAATCACAGTTCTGTGAAATCAGCGTTCTTCTGTTTTGTTAATAACTTACTCTCTTCGTTCTGTAAGTTACTATTTGAGTTCTTTGATTGACACTGTGTTGTCCTGAGGATGTTTCTCATCTCAGCTCATGTACATAGTTCCTGACTGCGTTCGTCATTGCCATTAATTACTACTTCAGTTTGGGGCCAATCAAGAAATTCATCTTCACTTCAGAATAATGGAGGAATTAAATGAGAACCAAGATTATCTAGTCATTAAAAAACATACAATGCGATGAATTTGTACAATCTAATCCATAAAGCATATGTGTGCTTCCATGAGAAAGATCATGCTTAATAATCTTGAGAGACTGGACGTGGATCCTACAGATCTCTGTTTGCTCGTACTCCATTCTGTCTCTATGCTTACATAGGTAAATCTAATTGATTCCATCTCTTCTATGTTGCAGCTTACTGTGTGGTTGCAGTTGAGGCTGCTGGTCGACAGATCCCTATTGCATTTCTCGAACGAGTTAATGAGGACTTTATGAAGAGATATGGAGGCGGAAAGGCCATGACTGCGACTGCCAACAGCCTGAACAAAGAATTTGGGTACATTGTTTCCTGGGAATTATTAAATGAATGTCCCTATATCTCTTATCTAACATTATATATAGATATAGATAAAGAATGAATGTGCCACCTGGATTTTGATTCCAATCACATTATATTTTTGTATATAGGTCTAAACTGAAGGAGCATATGAAGTATTGTGTGGACCACCCCGAGGAGATCAGTAAGATTGCTAAAGTGAAAGCACAGGTTTCTGAAGTCAAAGGAGTAATGATGGAAAACATTGAGAAGGTAAAATAAAGTAACATACAACCATTACATTCCTCCATTCCTTTCAATCATCAAATTTTGGAAAATGCCTTATTCTGCATATTATAACATTTGATCTGATTTAATCTTTTATCACATTTTACTTGATATGCAAATGGTGGGTTTATTCACTGATTGCTCTGTCAACAGGTTCTTGATCGTGGAGAGAAGATTGAACTTCTAGTCGATAAGACAGAAAACCTTCGATCTCAGGTCATTGTCCGTTCCTTTTGCGACTTACCTAAATAATGATTGGCAATCTGTGAAATGATACATTCTTTTAGGTGATGCATGAGTATAAATGGTATATGAATTAGAGGAAATTTAGTTCACGAATGAACGGCATGCCGATATCATATTTTGTTTGCAGTACTCTTTAACTTTTGGAAAAATCGAATTCGTCAGTAAGCTATATACCTAAAGAAACAGGACATCCCATTCAAAACTTGAGAGCCGGCAGCAACATCATAGAGCGTTTTATTACTTTTTTACAACTGTATTATATGCTATATTCGTTTAATTTTGTAGCTTATTCGGGTCATAGTTCTACGTAACGCTATGCTCAGTTCTGTGGTTTGAATGGATAATGGACCCTCTGTGGTTTACATTAGTCCCAATTAACTTGAATAAGGAGGAAAATTGACATAAAAACAGGAGATTATGTTTACAAAAGAAGAGGAAATACACGATCTTAATATGAACATGAAATTCAATTGATAATGGTATCTGCAGGCACAAGATTTTAGGCAGCAAGGAACCAAAATGAAGAGAAAGATGTGGTATCAGAACATGAAGATAAAGCTGATAGTTCTTGCGATCGTACTTGCGTTGATTCTGATTATCATATTGTCTATTTGCGGCGGCTTTAACTGTTGATGGATCCTCCTTGCAGCATTAGGATTTTGGTGATGGGATCAGGCTTGGACAGTTTTATACATGCTTTTGTATAGCTTGCGTGGTTATATTCTTTTGACATTTTTGAATGAAAATATATCATTTGTTTGCTAAATAATACACACATGGTTACCAATAACGCATCGTTTATACACATTTTGAGGGTTTGATAGAATCATTTATGCATTTTGATGTTCTGAAATATGGTTCAGTTGTTCATTTATCGTATATGAAGTTTTGAACTTGCAGGTACTCGGCCTTTTCAACCACTTATGAGTCGAGTTATCACTATGTTCTTACCTACTTGTGCTGGAGCCTCCCCAACACGTGCCACTACTGATCCAGGTACTTTTAGGACTTGTTTGGAAGTGATTTTTAGATTTTACTCCAAATCTATTCATAAAAAGATTCATAAATTCCAACTAAAGGCTTAGTTCTACAATTTTATTTTATTAATTTCTATATAATTAATTGAACACATGAGAAAAACATTTTTAATATACTTGGAGCAAGAATGTATTATAGGTTTAAAATTGCAACATTTGAAAATTTTTATATGTATGTGTGGACATGCTAAAAAATCAGTTAACTCTTTGAAGATTTTATATTTAAAAATAGAAAAAAAAATTAAAAATTAAAAATAAAAAGAGAAATGAAGGAAGTTTTTAAAAGTTTAAAGTATTAATGAAATGGGTAAATGTTTGAGTATTTGTTTAAACAAAGTATTCATGTGTATTTTCTATAATATAGTAAAAAAAAATTAAAATTACAACATTTTCCAAATTTATCCTATTTTAATAACAAAAATGTAATGTAATTTTTTTTTTTTTATTATTATTATTATTTTTTTTTTTTTGTAAACTCACTAATTTCTTCTTCTAAATATGTACACTATATGTCAAGATTTATTAATTATTTAATTTTTAAAATTATTTTATTTACAATTTAATATTTTCCATTGTAGTATTATTCTAAACATTATTGATACAACTTTTCTTATAGATGATTGACTTAAATCGTTCGGTGTAAAAATGTAAGTGGAAGCATATTAATAAATTTGTATAAGACTGAACTACAAAATATTTAATTACCTTATAAATATGTGAGTGAAAAAAACTAATATTTCACAAGATGATCATATGCGACTATGAATCAACTGAGAATTATAAAATGATAAAGGAGAAAGATAATGAGAACGTGAAAAAGAAGTTGCATGACCAATATAGAAAAGTGTGAATCAATTCACTAAAGAAATACAAAGGTAGTGTGTAGTTTCTCTGTGACCTCAACGTCATATGATAAACTTAGCCTATGTATTTATATGCATGAGTTTAACTCGTTTTCATAATCCAAGATTGTCTAAATGGAAAATATAATCGAATAATAGGCAATAACGTACAAAAGAACTAGAGTATTCGACATAAAGTATGAGACTTTTCTTTATTCTTTTGCTCTCCATTGGGGAGCCTTGAGTTTGGACTATTTAAGTGGTTTAAAGTTCTTATGCTATCAGTCTTACCCGAACAAACATGAAATATGGGCCGCTTTACCTAAACCTCGACCTATTTATTCAAACACACTAAGCGTATACGTGTAAGCCTCGTAGCTCGGAAACACTAAAATAAGTACAAAAAGATGATCAGAAGGAAGGAAGGAGAAGTAACTAAATATTCAAATGCTTATTTCAATGTTGTCTATGAGCCTTACTTTGCCAAACCAGGCAGCTATCAAGATCACAACTGGACTCTTGATCTGCTCCACCACTTCCAAACTCTCTTGTTCCACAATCTGTCGCCAACAAAAACCATATGAAACTTACTGTTTAAATTCAGCAGATACATGTTTTACGTTGAAAACGATGTTTCCAATTCTCGTTTTGAGAAGAATTGAAGTTTTTTATTTTAGTGAATTGTCGAACTTTCATCGAGAAAAAGACTAAAGAAGGCCGGCAAAAGAGAAAGCTCACAAAAAAAAGGAGGCAATCTATAACCGCCCAAGCCCACCGTTAGTATATATTGTCCTCTTTGGGCATTCCCTTTCGGGCTTCCCCTCAAAGTTTTTAAAATGCATGTTAGGGAGAGGTTTCCACACTCTTATAATAAATGCTTCGTTTCCCTCTCCAACCGATGTGGAATCTCACAATCCACACGGCACTCGTTCCCCTCTCCTATCAATGTGGGATCTCACACAATCTAAAGAGAAAAAGGTCTTCAGTCGAGCAAAATAAGATTAAGTGAATAATGACAAAAAAAAAAAAAAAAAAAAAAAAAAAAAAAAAAAAAAAAAAAAAAAAAAAAAAAAAAAAAA